TTTACAAAGCTGCATTGAAGATGAAAGCATTATTTCTTTAAAAAATTTAGTATAAAATTGCTTAGTTCATGCCCTCTATTTTATATTATTTTAGATACAAGCCATGATTTTAATGTTTGTCGCCTATGCTCTTTTTGCAGATATTATAAACACTTCATATAACTACACTGATATTTACTCTACGTATCAAGAAAGAAATAGAAATAGAGCTTCACCAGCTATCAGGATCACTGATACAAGACATAGACTACCACTGACAAATACTAGCAGTTCCGCACGTTATTCAGTGCAGTCAACACAGGCTGGATCACGGACAACAGCTAGTGGAAGAGATTTTGGAAGAGATGTAATTGGTTCAACATACCACCCTTCAACAACTGTTACAAAGGATGAAAGGATTGTAACAGACCACAAAGAATTAAGAACATTTACTCCAGCCTACAGTAGCTGGAAAAGCACTGAAATGCAGCAAAAGACAATTCCAGAAAGAAAGAAAACAGAAGTTACAACTTCATCCACAGTATCTTTCTCAAAAGAATCAGCACATGCTGAAAGATCAGAAAAGGACCACAAGCCTGACACAAAGCCAGGGATTTCTGAAAATATAAGAACAAAACCAACCTTCACTAGATTTCCGATGTATGAGCTGAATACCAATTTTAAGCCATCTAAATATGAAGAAACCATAACTGAAACTCGGACCACACTACAAGAAAAAAGAGGAGGCAGCAAACCAACTGAAGAGAAAAAATCTCTGCTGAAAGAAAAAGGTACGGCAGAGAAACAAACAACGGAGGAAAAAGAGAAAACAGATGAGAAACCTTTTATAGAAGAAAGAAGTGTTGATTTTGGAAGGAAGACTGAGCAGAAAAAATATACCCGGGAGGCAGTCATTAACCAGACGTTAACAGCAAGTGATATTTCTAAGGCAAGGGCTTTGAAAAGTGAATCAATCAAAAAAGATACAAATGTGAGCTTGGAATCAAGAAGCAAAGAAGCCATTGAGATACCGATCAGTCTTGAAAAGCCTGCTTCTAACACAGAATCTCAGAATAATAAAGAAATAAGGTCACAAGGCTTTAAAACTTCCACAGGAAGAGAAACAGATGACCATGTAACTAAACCTGCTGAAATTCACAAAGTGAGTATTTCAGAAGCAGAATCGAATCTGAAAGATGATGAGAGAATTAGTGACAGAAGTAAAAAAATGGGAACTCTGTCAACTGAAAATATAGCAGAGAATATTGTTGCTGACATTCTTAAAAGTTTTACGCAGTCTTCCAGTTCACAAATATCAACAGACACGAAAGTGACCTATTTTAATAAGAAAGAGCAGCCAGATGATGGGAAAATAAAGACTGAGATCACAGTCCAATCTCAAGTTCAAGAAAACATAGATATTTCTGATGAAGCTGACCGAGAAGGTGTATCAAACCAGGATGTTAGAAAAGTGGTTCGAGAGGGTATTGAGAGAACTCCTTCCAAAGAGGAGATAGAAGATTTAGTACATCATGGCCTGAAAGGAAATGAGGGCAGAAAGAACATGTCTGTTAATGTTGAGATCGTAGAGGAGCCACTAGATTATGCCACTGATGAAAAGACTGATTTTTCAACACCTTTTGAAGTAGAGGAAGTGGAAGATACATTCCCTGAGAGAGAGAGGCGTTATGGTGAAGAGGAACAAAACGTAACATTCACATACGAAGATGTTAAAAAGAAGAAACAACGCCATGAGAGCTTCACTCATGTGGAAGAAATAACTGAGGAAGATGACTCACCTATTGAACAAAAATACTTCGTATCTGTTCCTGATGATCATCCTGTTATTAACGAAAAAGACGATGACTCAGTATATGGGCAAATTCATATAGAAGAAGAATCAACTATTAAGTATTCTTGGCAAGATGAATTTTTGCAAGGCACACAAAGTAAGAGAGAGGAAGGTGTAAGCTCCCCAGAAGAAACATACCAAGTGGTAGGGGAGGAAGCAAGTGCCCATATTTTAAAAGAGCATCCTGAAGCTGAAACATCCCACGTTGAATCCATTGTTATTGAAAAAGAAATTAAAATTCCCCATGAATTTCAGACTTCAATAAAAGGGCTTTTATCAAAGGAAACAAAGGACCCCAAACATCAACTGAAGGAAGCTTTGGAGCAGTTGGAAGGCAGTCTCCCAGAAAGTGTGAAAGAGGAGCTGTCTGTATTAACAAAAGAAAATCAAGCTGACTCTAGTAGCGTAGAATTTGATATCAAAAAAGTTGATCAAACGGAGGAGGGTGGCTTGGTGAAAATTGTTGCTGAAGTCAACCTGTCACAGACCCTTAATACTGATGAATTCGATGTAGCTCAGCTTGGTGAAGTAATTGCAAGTGAGAAGGAGAAGGCAACACTGCACTCCCTGAAAAAAGAAAGCTCAGAGAGAGTTGTTGATGGTAAAAGCAATATAGAAACAGATGTTTCTTCCCGCAGTAATAAATACACTCCTTTCGCTGATCAAGAAATCTATAACTCATCCACAGTGAGGAGGAGTGGTAGTGTGGAGTATCATAGCACTGAAAAAGTTATTTATGACAGTTCAGTTTTGGAAACTGCAGATTTTGGAGAAGTCTCTCACTCACCACAGTCAACTGATGAGACCAGATCCACAAGGCATATTAAAGTTGGTCCAGCAGAAGTTCAGAGATTTGAGCAGATCGTATATGAAGGACCTGGTTCTGAAACAGTGGAGCTCAGTGCTACAGAAGATCTTGTTCAGACAGAAGGATCATCAGAGTTTAGCCGATCTGTGAAGCATTTTAAACTGGGTCCTAAAGAAATCCAAACCACCGAAGAAGTAATTCATACAGGCCCTATTACTACAACGGTAGAAGAGATGGATTCTGGAAATCTTTCCCAGAAGTTTTCAACAGACTTCAGCAGGTCCACAAGACATGTCACAGTAGGATCAAGGCAAGTAACTGAAGAAGTCTCTTTTGAAGGGCCTGTTTCAGACTCTCCAGAGCTCAATAGCTCAGGTAGCCTTTCTCAGACAGAAACCTCTGTGGATGGCAGCAGATCAATAAGGCACTTTAAATTAGGTCCAGAAGAGTTTCATACTGAGCAAGTTATCTTTGAAGGACCAATCTCCGGTAAAGTGGAGGTCAGTGACGCTAGAGACTTCTCACGGACAGAAAGTTCTGTCAGACATGTTCAGTTGGGTCCTCGAGAGTTTATGACAGCTGAAAAAATCATCTACCAGGGGCCTGTCTCTGAGCACACAGAAATCACTGAACTGGAAGACCAGACTCTTTCAGAAGGTTCAAGAAAGCATTTTAGAGTAGGTCGAATGGGAGTTAAAACCACTGAACAAATCATATATCAGGGCTCCCTTTCTGAAACTCCAGAGTTCATTAACAAGGAAGGACATCCTTCAGAGAATGAAGGAAGCTCAGATACCAGTAGATCTTTCAGGCACGTTAAAATAAGTCCTGGAGAAACTCATGCTGAGCAAATGATCTTCACAAGACCTATCTCTGAAACACTGGAAGATCTTTCACAAACAGAGTCATCTGAGAGCAGTAGGTCTGTAAAGCATATTAAAGTAGGATCCAAGGAAACATCTTTTACTTTTCAAATGGATGTTTCCAATATGGGTGGAATATCTACAGTAAAAAGTGGAGAACAGCAAGCAACAATGTTCTTATCTAGTCAACAAGACCCTTCTGTTAGTCAGTCACAGATTATAGAAAACGAAAGTAAAAGTTACGTTCTCTCCAGTTTTTCTCAAGATCATGGTGAAAAGGTAATGGAAAAATCATTTTTTGATAAAACTGTACAGTTGCAAAGAATGGTAGACCAAAGGTCAGTTATTTCTGATGAAAAGAAAGTTGCTCTTCTCTATCTGGACCATGAGGAGGAAGATGATGAAGATAATGATGGACAGTGGTTCTGAAAGGACTCTCTAATGAAGTCTGCTTAGTAATTTGTTTATACAGATTTTTGATTATCCTTTTTTCTAAAAAGAGAAAAAAGGGATGGGGAAACACTCAAACTATTTAGATTATTAATAGTGGAGTGAGAAGTATCGAATGTAAACCTCTACCTATTCAGCACAATTTTTATTTTATTGGAAATGTTATTTTTGGGAGAAATCATGTTATTAATATGTTTTTCCTCAGAGACCTGTGTCCAATAATTCCAGGTTTTTCCACCCACAGAGACAGGAATTTGCTACTGGGGAATTCAAAGGATTGTATTTTTTGTCTGTTTTATAACAGGTCAACTAAGAAGTGTGTGCTTGAATGGGACTTTTCCATTATTTCCATTTTTTTTTAATACTGTATTGTACTTGGTTACTAAAATATACAGCAATTCAGTTTAAATCTCAAGCTACTAACCACAAATAGAATGTAAGACTAATGAGAGTGGTAGGTAGCTGATTTTCAGTTCCATCTCTATGTACTTATATGCAATACCTAATGGAAGCATTTTAAGATACAGTTATTACAGCTATAAAAAAGAAATACCATTCTGTAGGATCAAACTAAGCATAGCAAGAATTGACAAAAGTTATATTGTTTGTAAAGCAAGAATGCCATGCCAAAAAAAAAGAAAAAAGTAACACCAAAGCAAGAATTTCTCACAGTATTCATAAAGAGAAATAGTGATTTTTATGGTTAGACAGGAGTACATTTTATATTTTTAAAAAGAAAACATTTTAAAAATAGGCTGGATAGCATTTCCACTGACGTAAGGAGAACTCTTTACAGCTTTGGTGGCAATGTTCATTAATAACATCAGTTTATTTTGCGGTATATGGGTTACCTTGGTACTAGGTATTGCTAAAGGTAGGTGTGTTTACACCTAGCTGTTATTACTAGGTAAGTGTGAAGTGTCAAACGTTATTACATAATGCAGAATTTCTTAACACAGTGAAATTAGTTCATATGTGTTCTGTTCTGAAGAAAACTTGTTCAAATGGCATTGATGACACATGATCATTGTGTGTGGAGTCATTTCCAGATACTCCTTTCTTTGTTTACAGATGAGAAGATGCCCTTTTCAATTACTAACCCTGCTAACCCAACCTGAGATTTGATTTTTCCTTTTTTTTTTTTTCTGGTTGTAACATTTGCCTCAGGTCAAAGTTGGTTTCTACTTAAATCATTTGAAAATAAGCTAATTTCATTTTAATTGCACATTGGTTAAATGAACGACATAATTTAACTTTACAATTATAATTCAGTGACTTCAAAGTCCAGATCAGAAGCCAGCATCAGTCACTGTACTAAACTGTGCAGTGCTGGCAGAAGCAAAAATAGCAGCCAAAATATTTTTGTCACTGGGGTAAGAAGATACAATACTGGACACATTTGAGAAATAAGATACACAAATCAGAAGCTGCTATTTTTACACACACACACACGCACACGTTCACACACTCGCTCTCTCACACCTCTGCAGAAAAGAAACACACCTGTGTCCGGATGGCTCTGTTGTGCCAGTCCGGTGGTCTCTGACCCAGAATTTTTTTTCCTGTGGTTATGTAAACATAGTTTTGTGTGTGCTAATCCAGATTAGAATCCAGTTTAACTCCCTTAGTCTGGCATGGCTAGTCACTTTTCAGATTCCTTAATATTAACAAAAGCTAGATTTTTCAAAACTGACTGCTACTTTATAATATGAATGTAAATGCAAAGCTGAAGAGAAGCTCCATGCTGACTGACATATCATGCTGTTTCAGACATGGGACAGTTTAATTGTTGTGTGCCTTAGTTACTATGTTTGAAACTGTAATATATTAATGTTCCAAAGATTAACTCATGAGGTTTGCACTGCAAAATTTTCTATAAGTTTTCCTCACTTTGTGTGAGTACCGGTGTAGATTGGGATTGGATATTTTTGATCATGCACTATGAAATAATTAGTTGAAATTGGAAGTGTAACTGACAGTTGGAAAATAAATAGGAAACTGAGTTGTGTAGAAGCACCAAAGGCATGTATGCTAAGATTATTTATACTGTTCACTGTGTAATGGAGAATATTTTTTAAAATTATTCATATGTGCTCAAAAAAGATCTTGTGCTTCCATTTATAAATAGGGTGTTATTAATTGTAATGCTGCTAATATCATCCTATACTTTTGTTTCCTTAGCTGGCCCTATGATTTTAAAGATGGTAACATCTCTGTTTATTTTAATAACCATATATAAGCCAGAATTTTCCAGCTAGGTGCCTAACTGCAAGCAATCAGATTCTGTACTTTAAGGATTAAATAACTGCACAAAGGAAAAAGTCAAGTCTGTAATAAGCAGCACAATGGAAAAAAAAAAAACAGTGTTAGTTTTCTCAAAGTTTTGTTCTAAGCTGAAACTTAAATATTCTCAGTAAAACAGGTAGAAGAATATCTGCAGAAAATGTACTTTGTAACCAACAAAAAGCTACTTACAAGGTCAAACCCATTTAGTGATACTTTGTGGGATCTTTGACAGATACGCTCCTTAGGAACAGCTAGACCAACACTCTGTTATATTTATCTTCACCTGCTCAGAGGATTAGAATGTCATATGAAGGAATAAACTAGTAAGGAGCAAATTAATCATAAAATGTAGCATTGAAGGAGGAGAAAAAAAAATAAGTATTGTTTCACTGAGGCAACAACAGCTTTTTAAAAATTCCTTTACACATTGCTGTCAGATGTAGTAGGTTATGCTAAGATACATTTCTGGTTTGATTGTCTGGAGGGAAAATTTGTTATGTGTACTTTCTTTTAGTTCTATTTAAGATCAGGATTTTAATCAACTGTTAGTTTACTGTAGGGAACTGGACATGTGCATTAGCATAATATTTAAAGATGTGCCCAGTTCCTTTGCATGAATACTTTCAGGCTGTGAAAACAAAGGTATCTCATGTAAAAAGGGTTTAAGCTTTAAAAATGTTTGTGTAAGCAGGCCATCTCCCATTTAGTTCTCATTAAACTGAGACATTTTGACATAAAGATAGCTTTTGGATAATATTAACTTCAGGCAACAAAATGTAGTTAGGTGGACAATTGCCTCCTGCAGGGCTAATTGTTGCATTTGCAGAATCAGGGCCATAGACACGTGCATTATTCGTAAGAGCAAATATAACCTCCTGTCTGATGTACTGACTCACCCTGTATGATGATCACTTTCTGCATTATAACCTGTGCCTGAAAGGATTGGTGATATAACCTCGGTCAGCATGTACTTCTGAAGCTTACTCATATAAGTTGTGCTTTTCATTAAATGCAAGTAAGAACTTTATTGCTGAGTTTGGTTTAAACAAAATGCTTTTCAAATACCATTAGTAATTTGGGGGGTAAAAACTATGCATTTATACGCTGATATAGATCAGAAGTGGGGCACTGTTTTCCAAATGTGTAAACCACTGGTCTAGAAAGCAAATATAGAATATAAAGAAGGATGTGTGAGAGACCTAGAACTCTGTATTGAGTGATGTTTGTGAATAGCAGGTGTTTAAAAAGACGGTAAGAATGTTGAAACTGGGTTTGTTGATGTCAGCTGTGTGAAACTGCAGGCAGCTTGTGTTTTGGTCATTTGCAATGAAACTGCATTTTTGTGGTGGTATAAGCTTTGTGATTTTACACTTTTTCACTCTTGAGTATTAAACAATCAAAATCAATGCAGATGTTTCTCTTTCTTCCTGTCTGATATTTTTAAGGCTGCACTGTCAAAGAAAAAGGACTTCATGTCTATAAATATCTTGCTGTAAGGCCTCTCAGGCAGATGAGTTAATTTTGGTTCAGAGAATGAACGTGATTTTTTCATTCCAGCAAAGGCATTCCTCTTTCATGTTGATAATAGACATGATTGCAAAAGAAAGCATATTCCTTATTGCAACTGCACACAACATGGGTGGACAAGCAGTGGTTCTCGAGTTCAACAGCAGGTAGTGGGAGAGGCAGTGTATAAAACAACATCGAAGGTGGAACTCCTGGAGCAGCCAGCATCAATAGTCTTCCTTGGATCCCGGGAATTGACCAAGGTAAGTCTTAACTTTTACTCTTTTCTAGCAAAGGAAACTTTTTAGGCATGTTTAGACCTTTAATGGAAAAGGATTTTTATTTTGGTTTTTAAACAGTACCTCTCTCTATGCTGTGAAATTAATTTTTCTCTTTAACCACATACTTTGTTTTCAATGAAGAAAATGTCATGCCTTTAACACAGTTTTCTGTTGATCAAGGAAATGTTTCACGAGTTTTTTGTGTAAAAGAGTGAGATTTTTCTGAAGAGATCATCCATTTTTTAATACACTGAGAAGAAACACAGTTCTCCATTTCTTGCAACACAGGGAAAAACAGTATCTCAAGCTCCTGACAAATCACAGCATATTCTTAAGATGGTTAAGTGATCAGCAAAATAGTTTCCGCTGAAACTGGCCTCTGTCAGAAAAACATGTTTTCAGCCTTCATCTACTAAGTGAAGTAGTATTACTGTTTAAACTCAGTGGTGAAGATCTGATTTCTCTGAAACTTGAAGCGTGTCTCTGAATAGCAAGGAATGGGACTCCAGTGGGTTGGTGTTTAATACGCTGTTTCCTGGTTTTGACACACTTGTCAGTTGTGAAAACATTTTCAAGATGCAATGAAAATATGGAGATCTCTCAATACTGAGGTCTATAAAGGAGTGCTTAAAATTAAGTGGGGAAAAAAGGATGTTTATTCATACTCCAAATTTAAATAGTTTCAAAGGTAAAACTGTTTTTTCCTGATGTATCCCTGCAACCAAATGTGAGCAAAATAACATGCAACGTGCTCAAGGAAAAGTTTTTCTTTAGCTAGGAAAAGCTCACAGTTCTGAAAGATGCTATCACTAGCTGTTTGGTTATCACAAACCACTAGTATTGGTTCTGGTTTTCAATTCCAAATTACGATGTGAAGCTGGTGTGGCAGGAGTTTACAGCTGGAAT